TAGCATGAGGAAAATGATGGGTACATTTTGTAATTTCAGTAGTAAAGAAAGGAAACATATTTGATTATTAATTCAGAGCTGTCTTTGAATTAATAAAAAGCAGTTTAAATGCCCATTTTTTGTACATTTATATACAACAATAAATATTTGTGAGTGCATTGAGAGATATTGTTGTGGAGAGTCATTTATATATAAATCGCAAAATACATTTGTGAATCCTTCTGTGAGCATTTATTAATATTGAGACTGATCTGACTCCATACGGATGTTAAGTTCACCTAGGAATGGTATCATTGACTTAAATGTTCAAATAAATGTTGCTCTTCTGTCTATATTGGTCATATGATGCCCCTTGACTGAAATGTTTCCTGTTCAATATCCCCACTGATTTCCTTAAAATCCTGAGATGAGAGTCCACATCACAATTTACTCTCAACTGTCATTTCCCTTTCATCACTCACCTCAGCAATGGACCTCTCTCCACTGTCCCTGTATTCTGCCTCTGACTCACTCTCAAGTGCCTAGATGTCAAGAGAGGTGGTGAAGTGATAATAAATACTGATAAATACTAGTAACCTGGCATTTCGATGCCTTTTCTCATCTAAACTATTCAGTATTTGTATCTCTCTCTATCATGACATAAAGACGAAACTCCTCTCCAGAAGTGAGACACCGCCATCACTGTTAACTGATTAACTGCTACCAGCTGATGACTTACTTTCCTCTTCTTTGAAAAAAATGTTCTTATGTCCATGTTGTCTGGGGGAGAAAACATATCAAACCAAGAGATCGTCAGCTTTGATTTTCGCTGTATTAACCATTTCCTGAACATTTGGTGTGTGTGCCTTACCTCCGCTACCGGCATCGCTTCATACAACAGATCTGAGCTGTCCAACTATGACATCACTCCTTGAACATGCGCGCGCTATGTGAGAATCTGCCTTGGTACAAAGTAGCAGTGAAAACATGGAACGGAGTTTCATTGATTTGGGCATTCTCTCAATAAGCAAGTGGAATGGATTTCATTTGATAGTGAAGCACTGACACAGCGCTCGACAAAGTGCAGCGAGTGGATAGACCGATTCACGGACTTTCCGCATAGTAAAAGTGGGGGGGTCTAAACTAATCATTTGAAAAAGTGGGGGGGACTTGTCCCACCCTCATATAATGGCTGCGACGCCCATGGGGTCACACCAATCACAAAGCTTTGATGCGTTCAAGTGCATTATTCTGGCACAGGAAGATTATGTTTTAGGACATTAACGATAAAACAGAATATTGTTGTTCTATTTTTAGACACATCTCGCGATCGACTGAAACACAGAGGACTGTTTGTATGATGGGATCACAGACACGCTGCAAACGGTGTCCGCCAAAAGTCGAGTCCAGTGTCTATGTAGTGTCATTTTTATAGTTTGGGAAGATTGAAAATCGGTAGGGAGAGTCAGCTAAATCGGTAGGCGGTAGAAACATGTCAAAAGCGGTAGACTACCGCCCAAATCGGTAGGGTTGGCAGGTATGAATACAGAGATGCTGTATGCGAAACCAATGTGAGTTTGGAAAATTGCACAGTATAAATCTATTTTAGTATACCTCAACAATGTAATTATGATCAGTGGAAATGGCCATGACATGGGCCCTTTAACATTCATTACGTAGCTGATTGAAATCATAAACACATAAATAAAGTACTCGAATTTCACTTACCGCAAAACGGCATTCATGCACCGTCTGTTTTAACCGCAGAGCGAGTCACAATAGTCCGATATATAAGCATGAAGAACAAACAAACACGGCCGGGGTCAAGTTGTGTTCCCTGGATGAACTGAGTAGGCAGAGTCCCTGTAGCTTCATGGAGCAGCTAGCAGAGAGACAAGAAGCTAACAGCAGCAGTCACTTGACAGAGCTGTCACTCAATGTGACCACGCCCTAATTTATGCAAAAACTTTAAGACCTAATATAAATAAAAGGGTCATGTTAGAAAACAATTCACTCACAGATTCATAATCATGAAGGTGGAATCTAACTATATATATAATAATATTTATTGCATCCAGGGCTAGAAACGTTTTTTTTCTGCTGTGAAATTGGGCATTTTAACATGGGGGTCTATGGAAATTGCTCCTTTCTGCAGTCATCGCCTATCGGCCAATATATGAACTGCAGTTTGTGGCACTTCCGTATTGGCGTCCCGGCTCTTCCCCAGAGTTTGCCGCTTGATCCTGACGCCAAATTATTGGCGCCTCTACACCAGTGGCGTAGCCAGGAATTATTGTGTGGGTGGGCCTGGAGAAATGTAGGTGGGCCAGGGGGAGACTTATTAAGCATGGGGTCTGAGCTGAAACTTCATTAATGATTTTAATGATTTGTTAATGCACTAATTGAACATAAGCATAAACTAGCAGTGAAAACAAAAACATAGGCACGGCTTTAACGGTACTTTTATCGTTTTTTTTGGAGAGAAAAAATAAGGTAAACTAACTAACACAAATTGTGAACAAAACTATCATTGCTTTTTATTTTAATTAAATACATAATATTTCACATCAAAAGAAACAACAGTGTACAAATCGTATTAAATAATCTGATGACAGAACTGTAAACAGAATAGCTGAAACTTTAACAAAATAAATAACCCTAAATTACCTCTAATCATTAGCCCATGTTTGTATAATTGAGTTAACTCCGTGTGTTGCTGCTAGCATACATAACACCTGACGTGGAAAAGTTACTCGTGGATGGGGCTACAGCGCTATAGAAAGACAGTCGAACCCGGTGCATTTCTCCGTTTGAATGTGGTGCACTTTTACAAGATGTTTAGACAAATTGCTCGTGTTACCGCCCTGACATGCTAAACTCTTATTGCACTTTTGGTAACGAGCATTGTCCACATCGAACAGGTAAAGTTTAACCACATCTCGGAGCGCGTTCTCTCCGCCATCTCCTCTGTGTGTGTGTGTTGCTGCATGTAGCAGCTGCATGTGTGTAAACTAGTGATGTGTCGGTCGCGAACGAGCCGGCTCAAAGAGCCGGCTCTTTTAAGTGAACGACGGGAGCCGGCTCGCGCCCGCGAACGAGCCGTTTTTTTTTGTTATTTTGTTGTTAAGTAATACAAGACAGAATGATATGATGATCTCCGCGCTACAGCTGCTCCGTGCATGCATGCAGTGACATGTAATATCCAAGGATTAGAGACTGTTGGATGCTGCTGTACTGAGCATTGCAATATATTTATTTTCACTATGTTATTTATTTATGATTATCCTTGGGCTCAGCAAAGATTTGATGCCAGCTGTTGCTGTCTTTTTTTCTATAGTTAATACTGAAATAGAGCCCTGCTGTTTTGTCAGGGCCTTTTCTTTAAATATAATTTTAAAATGTCGATACAGTAGCCCCTTTTTTTAAATGTCTATGCTTAAGTTTTTATCTCAATCTCAATCTTTATTTATTTATATAGCCCATTTAAAACAACCTTCAGTTGACCAAAGTGCTGTACAGGCAATACATATTAAATAACACAATGGGAGTACAATAATAAAACAATAATTAAAAACATGATAAAAAGCACAATAACTAGAAAAATATTTAAAAAAAACACATACAAATGTAAAAATGTAATGTTCAACTAGTATTAAAAGCCAGTGCAAAGAGGTGAGTTTTTAGCTGAGATTTAAAAAGTTCAATAGACTCAGCAGTCCGGATATGTACTGGGAGGCTGTTCCACAGTTCCACAGCTGCAACACTGAAAGCCCTGTCACCTCGGGTTTTTTATAGGTGTTGCTATCTGCTTTGTGTAGCGTGGTTCAAGCAAGTCAGTGCATTCATTGGGTGGTATCAGAGAGATACAAGGGTCTGTAAATGCAATGAAAACTGGCCACAGCAAATAATTGATATTAAACATGTAATTTTTACTTTTGAATACTTCAGTACAAAGGATGTATTGAATAATGTAAGTGATATGTGTACACATATAAATCATGAGTCAAAACAGGGCTACATTTGATTGAATTATAAAAGGTATAATATGTAGTAAACTGAAGAGCCGTTTGGGAGCCGAAAGAGCCGGCTCTTCTTGGTGAGCCGAGCCAAATGATCCGGCTCACCAAGAAGAGCCGGAATTCCCATCACTAGTGTAAACTGCCCCGCCCCCTCGCACACAGACGGGGGAGAGAGATCTCTCGTCTGGATTGGAAAGATCGAAAATACTAAAAATAATCATAGACGCATTTTGCTGTCTTTTTGCATATTAGAAACAGAGTTGGCGACACTAAAACTGCAATATAATGTTTGTGTAGCAATAATACATATGAGATATATTTTTTACATGTCTCCAGCAGTACCGACCGATAACGTCGGAGCTTAATGGTCTTTAATAATTCAGCCCTGGGGCTCGGTACCCATCCCTACACATGACTGGCTCGGCGGCCACAGGTTGTTTATGCTTGACAGTCGCACAGTGGGCACACTGAGAGTTTTCATATTCAGCAAATGTGTACACGCTTCACTGCAGACCTCAAGAAGAAATAAGACTTTTGTTAACTCACGGCAAAACCTACTTTACTTACTAATTTACTCACGGTAAGAAAAATGCACTCCCTATTCCATTGTCATGAAGGTGGAATCTAACTATATCCAGAATAAGTTTGATTGGATCCAGCTAGAAACATGTTTATTTCTGCTGTAAAGTTGGGCATTTTAACATGGGGGTCTATGGACATGGCTCCTTTCTGCATCCATCCCCTGTTGGCCACTAGAGGAACTGCAGTTTGTGGCACTTCCTTCTGGGCTTCCCGGCTCTGCGCTATAACGCGCTGATTGGCTGTGGGTGGGCCAGACGTGCATGTGGGTGGGCCCAGGCCCACCCGGACCCACCCACAGCTACGCCACTGCTCTACACCATGACTTGATGCTTCATTATGCATTTACTAATATATAAACCGTGTTTGTGAATTATTATCATCAACTGTAAGACATAATAAAGCAAAATTTGACTACAAAAACACAATGTTCTCATTTCAGATTTTATTGCTCATTCACACACCCATGCAAACCTTCCAACATCCATATTTGTATGCACACAATCTTCCATGAGCAGAACAAAATGACATCTTAAATAAGTAACAAAGGAGATTCCAGTCAAATCTACTGCAACTGGAAAGGTGTAGCCGTTTTCAAGTAATCGTCAAATTCAATTAATATATTAAGGATTTCAAGAGAGTGCACTTCTCATGTCAGATACAAAGTAACACTGAAATCTCAGGACCCTTCCCTGTCTTTCAAAAACATGTCCAATATAAGGCTAATTTAGTGTAAATGTGAGGTCAAAACAGCAGAGTCCAACGAATCGACTAGCCATTTATAGCAGAGCTGTTGAATACTTGAATTGAGGCGGCAGAGAAAACATTAACACACCAGTATGAAAAAGAAAAGACCTACTTTAGAACTGCTCTCTGTAGTAAAACAATAACCTAACAGCGTATACTGAGTGTGTGTTGTCTGTGTGTCTCAGGGTCCTCATTTAACATCTTTATCCACTTTTACCCATGCTAAAAATTCTAAATCTGATCATAAGGCATTTTAAATCAGTTCACATGACGAGGAGTGGGTCTCCGAGTGGACTCTGCTGCGATGCCCCCCCACTCTTCTTCAACTGGTGTATTGTCGGCCTTGAGTAAAGCCAGCTTGGTTGTAGTGCTGCCCGCCTTGTTGGAAGAACTGTTCAAACTGTCCTCCTTGATTAAAATTCTGCCCCCCTCTCCCTCCCCAGCCTCCACCTTGTCCTCCTCCACCTGCTCCTGCTCCTCCTGCTCCTCCTGCTCCTCCTCCTACTCCTACACCTCCTCCACCTGCTCCTCCTCCTGCTCCTGCTCCTCGGCCTCCTCTTCCCCTGCCCCCGCGACCTCCTCGACCCCCGCCTCTCTCCTGATGGTTATTGTCATGGTGACCGCCTCCGCCTCCTCCGTGGAAAGCAGAGTCCTGAAAGCCTGCTTGGTTGTTCCCTCCTCCTCCTCCTCCTCCTCCTCCGTAGCCCCCTCTCCCTCCTCCCCCCTGATGACCTCCTGCATCTTGATAGTGGCCCTGGTTGTAGGAGCCTCTCCCTCCTCCACCTCCTTCTCCCCAGCCTCCCTGCACCTTCCCCCCTCTGCTGCTGCCTCCTCCTCCTCTACCTCCTCCTCTCTCATATCCTCCACGTCCACCTTGGGAGTATTGGTCGTAGACCCCCCTGCCGCCTCCATGCCCACTCCCACCGTAGTGTCCTCCGCTTTGGGGGGCATCCTGACGCTTCTGCCAGGAGGGCATCTCTGGGGGAGGAGCCTCGATCTCACAGGGGCGGCCCCCCCTGTCTGGGACTCGGCCCATTAGAACCTGAAAAATAGACATGTTTAAATCTTTGCTTTGTTTAGCTCCAGTTTCTGTCACTTGACGGCACAAAGGAAAGTATCATAAATCAAATTATGTAAAGACCGTCTGCTGGCTCTTTAGTCTATCAGGGCTTCCTTCGTAGAGTGGAGTTAGCATTAGCCCAGAAGTTAGCATCGCAAGGGCTCCCTCGCCAAAAAGCATGGAATTTTCCATTGGATTTTGGAATATTGCAGCAATTTGGATCTTTGGCAATCATGTTTATGATTCTTACACGTTTTGTTCAGCAGGATAATCTCCATATATTAACACCACTTTATGATTTTCGAAGCATAAATGCAATGCCAGAAGTAAAAAGCTAACTTTAGGCTGTTAACAAACCACAGTGGTCACATGATTTCATGTCACTCCCGCTAAAGGTCGGCTTATGTTTGGCTTGGTGACGATGAGTAGTTTTATTTAGTCACCCTTAAGCAACAACTGTTTTTATGACATCACCAGTGGGGTATTTACTGACGTATTATATGTCGTAGATCAAAACGTGAAAATCTCTTCAGCGTGTGTTAACCACAGACCTTATTTCAGGCATCTAATTAAAACACTTTTTTTTATAAAAACATTGCACTTCGAGAGAAGGGACCCAGATGTAGTAAAATGCTGACTCATTAGCATGTTTAAAGAGTCATTCCTGCACCACTATTGGATTGCTGTAGAAGTGCTCAGTTCTTTAGTATGAGCTACAATGAAATAAATCATCACTCTTCT